CGGTCCTTGCGCTCGCTGGTCTTTCTTGGCAGCAATGGAACCTCTCTCCTTGAAGTTCTTGATGATGCCATAGATTGCTGACTGAGCTGCAATCTCTCTAGCTGCCGTTCTCTTTCCTGGTCGGCCATCTTTGTGCAGTGCAATGATGACTGCAGGTGTTTCTTTAGAGATAACCATGGTTCACAGCAGAGAACCAATGATGCCAAGCAGCAGCCTCTGACTGAATCCTGACAGATTGATCTGCAGCCCTGTCCTCATCACCACCCACACCTGAGTTAATGGACCAATCACTGGAACCATGGTAGCTGCTCCTTTAAGGCAGGGCTGCAATCACCATGAAATGTTCATTTTCTAGGCAAATATTGACTTTGCAATTAATTGCTGTTACTCTGATCACTCTTTAGAACATTCTGGAGTTTATGCAGATTACTGTTATAAAAACTGAACCTGTAGACTTTGGAAATATTAACATTTGAATCATTCTCAAAACTTTTGGCCATGACTGTACATCTACAAGCTCTACATCTACAAGCTCTACATCTACAAGCTCTACATCTGCAGTGGAGCAGCAGCTCCCCCTGGTGGAGCAGGCTGGTAATCTCTCTGCTGTAATCTGGCCATCCACTGTGGCATAATCTCAGTCACTGCAGGCAGCTGACGCTCTACTGGCAGATGATTAAAAGTTCACTGCTCACGGTTAGGGCGGCCATTTTTATAGCACCCAACAGGAGGACATGATGCTGCACATCAGGAAATGACTACGGTGTAGAGAAACATCTGGTCGCCCTCATTTCTGGAACACTTTGAGTGGCTTAAGGAGGAAGCTCCTGCAGCTGAATAGGAAATATTAATAAAAAGTTAAAGTATTGGTTCCCAGTAGGAAACAATTAATTGATTACTGAAATAATCTTCAACTATTGGTTAACTGGATCATAGAGACGCCTTCAGCTGACAGAGCGCCCCACTGAGAGCAGGAATTATACCAAGATTGTAGAAAGATTAAAGCATTTTAGGTTAAAAATAACTTTTCCATCAGTCAATCTGCTCTATAATCCAGAACTCCTTAAAAAGGGAAAGGTTCACCTGCTTTCATTTAGTAAATAAAATCTTTAAGGAACATTTGGTTCCCTGATTATTGATTGATTGGAAAAAAGACTGGTTTGGTTTCCTCCTTCCTTCCTTCCTTCCTTCCTTCCTTCCTTCAGGAAACCAACATAAAGCTAGAAGCAGATCAGGAGCTGTGACCTTTGACCCTGAGGAGAATCACCACGTTTCAAATCAGTCGTTTGAAAAAAAATGTCTAATTGCAGATTTTAGATTGAATTACTGAAGAGGAATTGTAAATTTATTTATTAATCAGTTATTAAATTCTGGAATTGGAAAATATGTTTTCAAATTCTATTTTTAAAATCTGATCATAAAAACTTTTTCTTTGTCAAACATTTAAAAAGTTTTTCTTTATTTCTTTTTCTGTTGCTTTGATCTTTTCTGTGACAGCAAACTGGAAACCAGTTAAACCACTCCCAGCTGTAACCTGCTCCCTGATTGGTCAGCCTGTTAACCAGGTCTGACCAATCAGAGCGTTGAACTGGTTTCCAGTTATCCCAGCAGCCTTAGCAGGAGTTCTGGTTCTGGTCCACTTTGGGTTTTGGCAGAGCAGCATTAAAACCCATGAAGAAGAAGCAGCTCAGAAAGCTGCAGCGACCCAAAGGTCACATGATCCTCAGAGCTGCAACTTCCTGTAGATCTGCAGCAGATAGAACCTCCTGTACAGATTTACAGCAGAACCTGAGAGACAGGAGGAACCACCGGGGGCCCAACGTCCTGATAGATATACATATACTAGTTTAGCTTCAGTAGCCGGTCCAACTAGGGAGTACCAATATGGCGGCAGTCCAACTAGGGAGTAGCAACATGGCGGCTGGTGGCTTCACTTCAGCCAATCAAAGGTTCTGATCCAATTAGTTCTATAGATTCTGTATAAAGTCCAAACGGTTCTGCAGCTCTGAGTGAATCAGTGATGTATAGAACTAGAGCACCCTGAATGTATCCGTTAGGAAACATAGATAGACATACATAGAACCCGTCCTACAGTGATTCTAAAGCAGCTTTCTGGATCATTTAAAGATGGCAGGTAGAGCTGTGACTCCTCCTAGAAGAACCTTTGGACCAAGCAGGAACCTCCTGAAATGAGAACATCTGGAGCAGCTGGTCTCCTCCTCAATGAAGCAGCAGACGGAGAACTTCAAAGGTTTTTATTACAAAGATGAACATCAGAAATTCATTTACAGAGAAGAACCAGAGGAACCTCCAGGTTCTGATGGA